CACGTCCTACGTTGTAGAGGGCACTAGGAGGTTGTGTGCAGATACACGTCCTACGTTGTAGAGGGCACTAGGTTGTGTGCAGATACACGTCCTACACTGTAGAAGGGACTTGCACATCCATGGGTTTTGTCATCCAATGGGTGACTGTGCTTTGTTTTCAATATTTGTTCATTTTGTCATAGGAGGCTATTCTGCCGATCACCCTGTCATTAAGATCTTCTGGAGAGTCGTAGAAGGTTTCACTGATGAAGAAAAGCGCAAATTGCTCAAGTTTGTAACAAGCTGTTCTCGACCTCCTCTCTTGGGGTTTAAGGTATGCAACCTTCATGCCATTTGTTCTGAAAGCCAAATTGAAATGAGAAACAGCAGGATATCCACTCAGGTTAGAGCAGTGGCTCTCAACTTTCCTAATGCCAGGGTGTATTTTCATTGTTAGAAAGGGATCAAGACCCACAGGTTGAGAACTGCTGGGTTAGAAGTCATGCTGGACACATTGTTTTCAGGGAAATGATATTTACAGTGTGCTGTGTTTTTATGACACCAAATTTATCTCTTACTCATAGGTTCTCTGCTTATCTCAACACTAGTTTTGTTTTGAGACACTCTCACTTTGTTGCCCTCAACAACCTCAAACTCTTGGGCTTAAACAGTTCTCTTACGTCAGCCTCCCAAATAGCTGGGACTACAGGCGCCTGCCACAATGCCTGGGTATTTTTTTTTTTTTTTCTGGCTGGGACCGGGTTTGAACCCACCACCTCCTACTGGAAGGGGCCGGCACCCTACTTCTTGAGCCACAGGTGCCACCCCCTGGGTATTTTTTTTGTTGCAGTTGTTTAGCTGGCCCGTACAGAGTTCAAACCCACCACCCTGGGTGTATGTGGCCGGCACTGTAACCACTGTGCTACAGGCATGGAGCCACCTTAGTTTTTCTATTTTTATTTTTAGTAGAGATAGGGTCTTGCTTTTTGCTCAGGATGGTCTTGAGCTCAAACAATCCATCCACCTCAGCCTCCCAGAGTGCTAGGATCATAGGAGTGAGCCACTGTGCCTGGCCTGCTTGGCTATTTTTTTTTTTTTTTTGAGACAGAGCCTCGAGCTGTCGCCCTGGGTAGAGTGCCATGGCATCACAGCTCACAGCAACCTCCAACTCCTGGGCTCAAGTGATTC